CTGCGTGCTCGCTACAAACATCTCCCAGCTATCACGCAGGGACAATGAGGGCTGATCCTTCAGCTTAGCGCTTGCGCTAGTCGAAGCTCCATTGGAAGCTCCGTTAGTAGCAGTGCTAGTGCCATTCGCGTTCGCGGATGTCGCGCCGTTAACCGCAAGCGCAACCTGGCTAGCCTTCTGGCCGCGTAACTCGAACCGGTCGTCCCGAATCGCGTCGAAGTCAAGGGGTGTGGGCTTCGCGCGGTGTCTCCACATATCCTCCATTGACAAAAGGTTGCGGATGTCCCTGTCGAACACCTTCTCAAAGACGAGCTTTGGTGCCTCCGAAGCGCGGTCTGCTGAGCGCAACGCGGCACGCACGGCCTTGAATGCGAGGGCTTCTCTCTTCAGGGCATCGATCTCATGCGCTGGTAGAAGGTGTAAGGCTGGGCTCCCGCTTCAGCCAAGACCCATACATACCGTTTTCACCTGCTCTAAGCGCATCGTCGAGATCATCTGTCGCGTTCTCGTCTTGGCCGAACAGCTGACTGAGTATGAGGTTTCAGTCTGCCGCTTAGCACGTTGAGCTGTCAAACCTACGGCAGAAGGTAGCTCTTCCCCCATACGATGCAGTGTATGGGCTGCGAGGGCGTCGAGCGGATCGTGCATATTGGGAAAGTCTTGGGCGTGGGTTTCTGTACGCAATCGAAGCATTCTGTGCGATCCTAGATGTCATTCAGTGTAAGCGCCCCGCAGTCGGGCATGGCATGATGCATACCTTGATGATGGGTTGAACTTGACCCAGATAGCCAGCAGTGCCGGACTCGACGAGCGGGATGTTGGCGGCCATGCACATCTTGTTGACGTGCCTCCGCGCATCTGCGCCACAAGCGGAGACGCGTCAATTCCATATCTAGACGCACGTGGAACCGGATCGACGTACCGAGGTTGTCGAGCGCGTTGAGCACAATATCGAAGTTCGAGAACCATGCGAGATCATAATGAGGGTCCTTGATGTTTCTGTGCACAGGAATGATGTTGACGTGCGGGTTGAAAGCCGCTGCGGTGCGCGCCGCCACCTGTGCGCGTAAAATTACTCAGTCACGTCGCGACGCGTCAAACAGAGTAAGCGCGGACCTGCGCCCTGCTCTGCTTCACGTCCTTCTTTCTGAGCAGAAACTGCATC